ATTTCATTACATATATTTAAAAACATAACTTCAGACTTTCATCGTAAGGAAGGTTAAGAATAATTTATTAGGTTGAACAATGTGAAATTGCCATTTCTGCGTGTTAGAGATGGCCTATAAATAGCAACAACTTCAAATAGTTCAAACTAGTGATCATGTTTGTACCTGCTTATTGTGTCTGGGGCCAGACCGCCTTGTCTGTATTTCAGGCTATTTACGTCCCACCTAAGAGGTGGAATGCCCGGGTTCATACTTACGGACATCTTGAAACCTATTGAATATAATTCATCATTTTAATATAAAATTATTGTTTTCCCTAAAATGGCGATAGGAATGAATTGTATCGAAAATGGCACCCATCTTAGGACTGGGTAATGCAACTACAGTTGGGCTTTGCCTGCTTTTGTTTGTTTATTCTTCATTAGCAAAAATATCATCAAGTTGTTTGATTCGATATTTGTTCTGTTCGTTCATTATCATCCGTGTTCAGGTCGATTTTGCTCCTTAACCCCCGTGTGTCATCTTCGGGTTTTAGGGACCGTGACACATGGCAGGCCTTTATTGTTAAATTTCCTCTGTTAAACATAGTCACGACATTAAATGTCACAAAGGCTTCGGGATGGCTTCTCTACGCAAACCGCGGCAGCTGGCACACTCGTTTCCCTCGCCTGTCAGTGTGGACGGGCCGGGCCGGAGGGGCAGGGACCGGAGCCCGTTTGGGGGCAGCGCCCCCGTGGGCAACGCCAGTGTTCCCGGACACTCCGTCTGTCTGCGCGCCTCCGGGGTTCCGAGTGCACCGTCGAAAACCACGTGGGTGGGAGGCAGGAGAGATGAGCAGGAAAGATGGGGGCCCCTGTGTGGGGGACGCTGCAGAGCTTGCTGTGGGGGAGCAGCAGGTCAGAGCCCCGGCTGTGGGCGGGCGCTGGGCCCGGGGCTCCGGCCACCTGGCCGGTCTGCTGGTGACCGTGATCTGAGAAAGGACAGGAACACGCAGGTCCGTCCGTGCCTCGTGACTCCCGACAGAAAGTGAGCCCCACGCGGTGGCTGTGAGTGACGCGGCCCCGGTTCGTGCTGGCACAGGCCGCGCACACCAGCAACTTGTGGTGTGAACGCCTGCCTGCTAGTTAGTTTATCGTCCTGGAAAAAAGCCGGTGGGAGGTGTGAACTGTGGCCCCTAAGCACTGCATGAAGGGGGTTACCTGGCCCACGGCTCTCACGAAAAATGCTGAAAATATGTCCGCAGTGACTTTACCGTCCCTTCACGACATTAACAACTGCGGTCCCTGCGCACGCCTCGATTGGGGCTGCATGGAAGGAGGAGTGCGTGAGTGACCCAGGGTGGCAACCCCCTGCGAGGGCCGTTTCTCTGCACTCAGTGACAGGCGCCACTGGGGGCCCCCCGCCCCCTCGCCCGCTGTGTGTACACAGTGCGGGGGGCACCGCAGCTGGACAGGTCACCCCGTGAAAGGAGGCCCACGTCGCTGGGCTCAGCCCTTCTCAGAACTGCTACCTGTCCCGATGGCGGAGGCTTTCTGAGTCTCCAGCCTCGGCTTCGGACGGACAGCAGGCTTCAGCGTCTGTGAAGTTGGGGGGGAAGCGCCCGTGGCCTCCCTCTGCTTTCTCAGTTGGGGCCTCACTCTCGGGCTCCCTCGCGGGGGTGGTGGGAGCAGCTGGCGGTGCATCTGCCCGCTGGGCACCCTCCGTGTTTCCTGAGCACTGGAGCCCGCGCCTGGGCAGGTCTCTCACCGGCCCCCAGCACCACAGATGGGAGACGTGCCGGTGGTCTTCTCACATGCTGTCCCCAGGGGCTGACGGGGGTCCTGGACCCCCACAACAGGGCCCCCCACAATGCAGGCTGTGTGGTCCTGGGGGGAGGGGTTGAGATGCAGGAACTCGGAGAGATGCTGGGCGAACAAGCACCCAAGACCTGCCCACTGTGGCCTCCACTCGTTTCCGTCGATGCTTCCAAACTGTTCCTTGGGCTGACAGTGACGATAATTGCGTTAATTAGGGGAACGGCCGAGCAGACCTAACAAAGAGTTTCCAGAGACACTGGCTGAAAGCAGGCAGAAGCTCCGACTCCCAGTGATAAGTGGGCCCCGGTGCAGAGCCCCCAGCACTCAGGGGAGGGGCTTCTTCCATCACCCTCAGCACCAGAGATGGACAGCCTGGAACACGGGACGGGAGCCGGGTGCCTGGGAGTTGCCAACAGCGTGCCTCCTGCTCTCCCTTTGGCCCTGGGGCCACGCTTGGTCACCGGTGAGACTGGAAGGTGTGCCCTTCAGGTGGGCGGTCGTGGGCTCAGGAAGTGACCCTCAAAAGCCTTAAAGCATCAGAGTTGACGGCACAGAGAGTAATGTTAGCTCCGTGAGTCTGACTCACGCTGACAGCGGCCCGAACGTTACCTGGCTTCTTTAAAATCCAGGGACAGGATCTGGTTTCACGGCCTCCCACGCCTGCATTGCACACAGTGATGATCCCTGGCATAATGCACAAGCTTCTAGCTCATTATTTGTTCCAGAAGCGCAGCCCTTTGATGTCAACGCACGTCCTTTTGTCCCCGTATTAAAGGACTGGTCACCGGAGCACCGGCCGGCAGTGCAACTCCGCAGTTGAGCGCCTCCCCCGTCTCTGGGAGCACCGCAGCCGCAGGTGGTGCTCTGCGCTCCCCAGGTGGCCTCGGCAGCCCAGCCCGTCCCTCTCGGGGAAGCCGCCAGCTGGCCAGAAAACCCCCGTTGGGCTGTGCGAATCGGACCCGCTAGACGGAAATGGCATTTCCAAACTACAGCTCTTCTGCTGCACAGTTTTTCTAGGAATGATGCCATTATCACCGGCGCCTGGGCTGGGCTGCAGGCAGCCCTGCCAGGGCCTCGCTCGGGGAAGGACAGCAGCCGAGGTCCAGGCCAGGGCCGGCCGCAGCTCAGCAGGGGAAGCCGGAAATGGCCCCGGGTCTGACTACCTGCTCTGTTTTCCAGATGACTGGCCTGTCTCTCTTGGCTTCTGCTTCTGTGCTCCAAACAGCCCCTTCCTCCCGTCCTTTGGTGGGTGGATACTGTATTTTTATTTTGTGTGGCCTTCCTCAGTTGGGAGAGATAAATCCACACCCTTCAAAGCTAAATACAACCCCATTCCCACAGGCCAGGCAGGAGTCCAGACTCTGCTGTGCCCATGACAGCGAAGGCGCCCCAGGGACCAGGGTCCTGGTAGAGAGGGAACAGCCTGACACCGGGCGGGAGGGCTGGGGCATCCGGGGTGGGGGCGTCCGGGGGGGTTCCCGGCAGCCCCAGCCTCGGGCACCGTCCGCACATCCCCTCCAGCAGACGGACCTTGATAATTAGCAGTATGAACCTGTCCTTGGAGGTAAGGGCTGGGAGGCATGTTTTGGACATGGAAACCAGTCACCGCCTCCATTCTGCATTCTTTTAAAATGACATCCTTTCCTTGGCTAAAGTACTTTCCATCTTTCTCTCAAATACTGTTTTCCGTTCTTGAGTCAGAACTCGTCTCCCTCCCTCCTTCCTTTTTTCCTTGCGCACCGTGCCCTTCTCCCCCGCCCCCACCCCCATGCCAGTCTCCTGTCGGGGCTGGGTGTGTGGGGAGCGGTCTGTCCAGACCCTGGGCAGCCAGGGGCCCACTGCCGGGCTGTTCCCGCCCCCCACGGGGGTGAGAGGCTCCGTGTAGAAGAACCGACACGTCATCTCCACATTGCAGACGCGACGCCTTGCAGTCTGCAGCGCATGTGGAACATCTGCTTTAAACGGAAGCCACTGGCCTGGTCCCCTGACGGTTCTACTGGGCCTAGTACCTGGGACAGTGACTGCTGCATAGTAGGTGCTCAGTAAACTTATCTCGTTAATGAGTGAGGCAAACCCATCATGGGGGAAGGAAGAGCCACGTCTGAGAGCAGCCTGTGGTGGGACGCTCCCGGGACCCACGGGCTCTGTGCCTCCTTGGCCTTGGAGATGTCCTCCCCCTCCAGACACCGTTTCCCTGTTGAAGTGTCACTCGGGATCCGGTCTTTGTTCCTAGTTCGGCGGATGAGCTGGGGGACAGTGCTGCCTCGGGGCAGTTCGGAGGCAGGGACACGCCTGCCCTCGCTGGCATCTGCAGTCTAGGGCGCACTCGGGAGAACTGTGCCCACACATGAACGGACAGAACCCGGGCTGCGAGCTTAGCAATTAGGAAGATTTACAAGCCTGTTTATTCATTTTCAAAAAATTGTATTCAGCTGCTCCTGAGGCAGACTCCTGAGCCTCCCCCCTCCCCCCCACAAGGCGCTGCTGAGGGCGGCTCACAGCTCCACGGATCCGTCCTTGCTGCCGGAAGCCCTGGTGCCGGCGAGGCCAGACCACCAGGTCCCCCTCCTCACTGCCCTGCTGGAGTGTGAATTCCCTCTGCGTTCTCACCACCGAAAGGGCCCTGGCAGCATGTTTTCCTAAAGCAGTATTGTGTGAAAGATTTGGAAAACCCAGTCACGGTGACTGAAAAATGAAAGGGATGTGTAAGTCACTTACACAGCACATGATAGTCGCTTTTCTGAAACAATTTTGGAATCCTGCAACAAAAGGCACACTCCTGGGCGGCTTGGAGGAGGCCCGCGGGGCACGGCCTCTGCGCTTGGAACGGGAGCGTGTGGCCTTCTTCAGCCCCCAACAGTGAATTAACAGAAGAGGTGACTACAGCGTTAGGGGACAGCATGGTGAAAACCAGACCGTTAAGTATCCGGACAAAAATTGTTTAAATGGAAACAGCGTAGGTGCCCTAATGTATGTAAGGAATACCTTGGCAGCCTGCGGAGGTAGCCCGCCTCTCGCAGTTACGCGCGAGCCCCACCGCGCCTCCGCGCGAGGAGCGGAGCAAAGGAATCCGCCGCGGGGCCGGCGGCACCACGCCCTCCAGCGAGCGGCGGCGCGACCGGCCAGGCCCGCGCGTCCCGGATCCGCGGCGCCGAGCCGAACCGCCCGGCGGGAGGGGCTCCGCGCAGACGTGCCTCTCCGCTCCCAGCGTCCGGGAGCCCACCTCCTCCGGCCGCGGACGTGACAGGGACGGTCAAAGTTTGCTCTCCGTGGCAGCCGAGCCGTGACCGCCCCCGTCCCGCGGGAGGGAGCGAAGGGAGGCGGCGGCGCAGACGCGGGCGCAGCGGAGGCGCGAGCAGCCGGCGCGGGAGGGCGTGGAGCCGAGCGAGCCCGAGCAGGTTCCGCGCCCGCGGCCACAGCCCGCGCTGCCGGGGACTCGGGGTTCGCGCTCCAGGACCGAGACCAGCGCGTCCTCTCCCGCTCCCAGCCAGATCCCCGGAGAAGGGCCCAGCGGAGCCGGTGCCACAGGCGACGCAGGTGGGTCCGAGGTGAGGCGGTCGGCAGGTGTCTACCTCGCCCCGGGTCGCCCAGCTCCCCGGCCAACTCTGAGTGGGACGCAGGGAGGGCTCGGGGTTGGTTCCAGGGCGGGGATGGGGGGTCACCCCACTGTGGCAGCAGAGGGTGCACGACAGGGGTTCATCGTAACCCTAGGACCCTCAGCCCCTCCCGGGAGGGACACCCTTCCCCAGCCGCGCCCCCGGGGGCTGAGGATGCATCCGGACGGCTGGATCGGTCGGGGGAGGCGCCGGGTCCCCGAATCCCCCCAGCTCCCACTTTCCCCGCCCGGCCACGTTTTGGGTGGCCCTCCAGCTAGCCCCCGGCCTCCCACACCCCGAGCTTCCCTGCCTTCCCGGAGGGTCCCGGAACCCGCCTCCTGCGGAAGTCCAGCCTTGTCCCCCGGGGACCCGAGGTCCCGCTGGGTTTGCATAGTCCCGGACTCCCCTCACCCCTCCCCACCCCGCCCGCCTCTGGGGTCGCGGGGCGCAGCCCCCCAGCCCTCGTGTTCCTCCCACTCGGGACAGAAATCCAGGTCCCTTTGGGGTTTTGTACACGCTGCCAGCTTGAGGGGGAGACTCTGGACCGCCGGGTGGGGAGAAACCGGGTGTGGGGGCAGTCAGGAGCCCCGCCGGGCGGAGGGCTGGAGACCGCGGTTGCCATGGCTCCCGGGACCGACCCGGGGAGCTGGAGATGCCGGTCACGCGCGCCCCCTCCTCTGGGTGCCCCTCCCGCGGCCCTGTCTCCCTCCTCCTCCCGCCTTTCCTTCCCCCCCTTTTCCCGAGCGCGGGGGCGGGCGCGGGCGCAGTGATTAATTCGGAGAGCGGGGATTGCAGCGGGAGGCCGCTCGCCGCGCAGCCCCGCAGCCCCACTCGGTCCAGGGCCGAGACCCCTGGGGACGCCGGTGGCAGGCGCACCGGGGTCCAGGTAGCCGCCCCGGGCCCCGCGCGGTGGGTGGGGGTCGGGCCGCGCGCTGTGGGCGGGGAAGGGTGGGGGGCGGTGGCGGCGCGGGCGTGCGAGGCAGCGCAGGGCGGTGGACCCGCACCCAGCCCGGCTCCGCGTCCAGCCCCGCCCGCCCGGGGAGCCGCGGAAGAGCCGGCAGAACCGGCGGGGGACCGTCGGCACGCGCGTGCGCAGTCGCGCGCTCCGGGCGGCGGGAGCCGGTGGCCCTGCGCGTGCGCGCGGAGTGGCCAACACGGGAGCCACCTGGGTGGGCCAGGCCGAGTCCCCGCCTGGGTTCCCGTGTCAGTGCCACCGCCTGCGGTGTGTGCTTTGGCAGGAGCGATCCCGCGACCCCGTGCCTCAGTTTCCCCTTTTCAGTAACAGGGGTAATGTGGGTGCCTGCCTTTGGGATGGTTGCAGGACTGGAAGGAGCTCCTTCGAGGAGACAGTCCAGCCTGTCGTCTGCCGCGTGGTGAACACTCGGAAGTTGGTTGCGGACCCCGTGACGTTGTTATTAGTCTTTCCTCAGCTCGATGAGATGCCGTGCGCTCTCCTTTCTCTGCGCGTGTATTGAAAACCAAGCCACTCTGCTCTCCAATCCTCTTGAGCACCAGTGAATATTAGTGGTATTGCCGACCCGGCCGCCTCCTCCCCGGCCCGGGCTGCTGCCGGTGCGACCGACCCACTGCGGGTCCGTGTGCGGGCGGCGGAGGAAGCTCGGAGGCCCCTCGGGCCTCGCTGGGTGCCGGGCGGGTACAGCGTCCTCCTGACACGCCAAGGGTGCGGGTTCCATCCCCGGTCAGGGCCCACACAAGAAGCAGCCAGTGATGCCTGAATCAGTGGAACAACAAATTCACGTTTCTCTCTCTAAAAAAACCATTATTTTTTTTCTTAAAAGAAAGCTATTTGGGGAAACTTAGTGACAAAAAAGAAAGTCGATGCCGGGCTTCATGTGTGAGACTTTTCTGTGTCCTTTCTGAGGTTGCCGCTGGGCTCGTCGTCCTGATTCCCGCTCCGCGGTGCAGCGCCCGTGGCCTTTGTGACCCGACGTGGTTCTGCGTCCTGGCAGGTCACCCAGTGCCCTGTGTCATGGCCTTGAGTGCAGTGACAGCGGAGCACAGCTCTGAGCATCCACAGGAGCTCCATGGAGAGGAGCGGTGGTCTGCGGGCGGGGGTGGCAGGCAGTCCCTCAGAAGCCGCTTTCGGTGCCCATGTCACAGCACAGGTGCAGGACCTCAGAGACAGACGAGTGGCTTGTTCCCCGTTCTGTCTGTGGCCGGGGTGTCCTCCTTTCAGGAAAGGACGTCTGTGGCCACCCCCCGGCTGAGTAGGGCTCCAGCTCACTGGGCAGTGAGTGGACGCTACTGCTGTGGACAGAGCTCCGAGCACAGGACACCAGTGTCGAATGACCTGGTTACGAAATGACTTCTTTAAAGAGAATCAGCTACTGAAATATAGGCAGGCGTCAGATCTGAGGCAAGGACAGCCGGATGGGAGTCTCCATCATCAGCTCCCACGGCCTCATGGGCAGATCTGGCCTGGGAGAATATTTGATGGACAGAAGTTCCACTTCCCAGTCCCTTTCTCCATGGCTGTGACGATGAAAGGTGGCTGGGCCCACGGCTGCTTTGTGGAAGTGACGAGGCCGATCTATTTCTACGACGGACTGAGGGAGAGCCACGGCCAAGTTCATTTCAGGGCCCAGCCAGTCTCCGTCTCGCAGGGGGCAGCCGAGGGGCAGGAAGGGGCCCACGGACCGTCAGGTCGGAAGGGACGCGTGTGACGAAGCCCCGTGGGCCTCAGCTCACAGCGCAGAGTCTGCCTCCGAGTTTGACTTCCCGGTGACAACGCCCCCTCCCTCCCTGTGACTCTGTCGTCTGGAAGAGGGACCGAGAGGGCTTAGTGTGACAGCTTGCCTGACGCACACACGGTCATTTGCATGTTGTCTGCCAGGAGCTCTGGCAGCGTGTGTCACTTGCTGGGAATTATTCTGGCCTCTGATTTACGGCCACCTGCAGTGCCGTGGGGTGGAACGTATTTTAGAGACAAACATTGAGCCTTTCTCTGGTGTGTGTTTGCCCTGAACCTCTGAGCAGCCATGACATGGGAAGCCGAGTGGGGCCAAGGACACGGGGGACAGCAGAAAGCTGTGGACTCCCCGGGGTGGGGACCACCAGCAGGCAGGGGTGAGATCCAGAGGCCCAGGCCGCCCCTCCAGAAGGCCCTTCCCACCGGTGCTCCCCGTGACCTGACCCCGTGGGCGCTCCCCACGATGGTTTCAAATGCAGACGGGGTTCCCACCTTCTCCATTGCCAGCATTTTGATTACGGCTTCGTTCTAACGGATTCAGTCTGAGGAGAATGCAATTACTACGGTGATTTACATACAATATGCTAAGTTAACCCAGCTAATGAGTGAAGGAAGGCAGGAGATTCTTCCTCTGGTTCCTGGAAAAACACCGAGCTGAGCATCGTTTCAAAGGAAAGACCCCGGCCTCCCCAGCAGCGCGGTCCCCTCCCTACAAAGAGCGGGCGCTGGGCCCTTCTCTCAGCTACTGAGGTGGAGCCTCTCGCGTTTTGGCTCTCGGGTGCCCCCCCTCCATTTGGGGGCGGGAGTGGGGAGGAAGGAAACAGTTCTCCGTTTAACCAGGGACGCTGCCCGCTCCTCTCGCTGCCTCTTCACTGGAGGAAAGACTCTGTGTTTTCTCGTTTCGTGGGTTTTAACACCTTAAACATCACTGATCCCTGCGGCTGATTGTGTCTGCGGCTCCGCAGAGTAGTTAGTTAATTATAGCTTTCTCATTAGCGCCGTGTGGAGAATAATGAATTAACAGAGCCCTTTGATGAAAGGAACATCCAAGTTTATCTTCTGAGTATAAAAGTGTTATTGTGTTGCCGAAAGTCACTATAATTTTCCCAAGAAGGAGAGCGGGTGGAATTCTCCGGCACCGGCGCGGGAAGCCTGGTGAATGAGCGGATTGATCACGGCCGGGAATACGGCCGCGGTTGCTTGGCAACCTGACATCATCCCGCGCTTTCTTCTGGTACATTTATCCAGGAAACCAGAAAATTCTGTTTTGTTAACGAATGTTTTTAGTCAGTGCACAAATAGACCATAACTAATTGAGATTTTATGTATTGTGGGTAAAAAATGACCCTGCGCACCTTACCCCCCTGCTGAGACAGCAAAAACACAAGGGGAAAGCACCTTGTTTTCTGCTTTTATGAATTTATTTCCTGTAAAAATGTTTACTTCCTCTTCACGTTGTTTTGTTGGTGCCCAAAGGTCACGACTTGCGTATCCGGTTGGGAGTCGAGTTGCCAGGCGCATGGGCCAGTTGTCGGGCTTCGTTCACAGTTTCTCGGTCATAGACGCAAACAGGACGGTAACCGGGCAGCCCCGGGGCGCTGGCCGAACCGGTGCTAACGGGGAGGAGCAGGGAGGAGCAGCCGGGCCGGAGGGAGCTGGGCGCCGTGTGGGAGCCGCCGGATGCTGGCTGCTCCTGGCGGGTTCTCCTGCGCCCCGGCCTCTCCCTGCCCTGGGCTTCCCCGCAGGCGCCCTGCCCAGCGCCTGGCGGCCTGTCTTCCGAGCCCCCTCTCCCTAGGGGCCCCGGAGGACCGTGGCGCACCCTTTTCCGACTGGGCCTGTGAATGTCAGCCTGCCTCACACGTCCCTCCTCAGGTGGTGAGCCCTCCGGGGCACGTTGGAAGCATCCAGAAACGCCTCCTGTTTCTGGGGAGCAGGGTCAGACGCCCGCGGGCCCAGCGAGGCTGCGGGGTCCTGAGGCCGCGTCTGCGGGCTCCCCTGAGTGTGGCCCTGGCTGGTCCTTGTAACCCCGCTAAGCCTGCGTCCTGTGGAAATGGGGGGCCGTAGTCGTACCCAGCTCCTGGGCATTATTGTGAGTGCGAAGTGGGGCGGTCTGTGCACACAGCTCAGTGGCTGCGTTAAGCACTCAGTTAATTCCGTCTCTGCTTGTAATATTTGTGCCCCTCGTATTCCGTGAGTGGATAGAGAGATGGGTGTGTGTGTGTGTGTGTGTG